CCCTGATAAGTATTGCTGTTTGGGCCACCAAATAATTCCCCAAACCATCCCAGCTTCTGAGCTCCCAGAAGCCAGTAACTAATAGAGATAGATGGTCTCAACCTCTTCAGAAATGTTCTTTTCTCATAAAGGGATGGGAAAACTGTCAAATTTCCAAATTTAAAGGTAGACTGTCAGTAAATATTATTTGTGTATTTTCGTACATAAGTGTTAAATGTATACACATTTATGGTCATTTACCTTCCAAGAACTGAACGAAGCTTACTATATGGTGCATTCAATAGAACTTTAAAAAAGCAAAGACAAAAATCCTCTAGTGGTCAGAGCAGGGATGGGGGAAGAGGTATCCCTATTCCCAAACCAGGCCACTGGGGTTGAGTGCAGCTAAGCCTTTCACAGAACCCCACCCTTCCCAGTTAACGGGGCAAAATATTTGGGAAGGAGACTCATTCCCTCCAGTCATGAACACGTAGACCTTGTCTCCTGGCAGAGATGACTCTGAGGCTTTCAATAAGGCACAAGACAGAGAGGAATGGATAGCTTGTACCTCCAGCTTTAGGTTTTAGCAGTGCTCAAGGTCAGTGGATGGTGCTGGAGAAACAAGATCCTGCAGTAATTGATCAGTGTTCAGAGCAGTACCGCGTGGTGAGACACACCGGTGCTATGGCCACGCACAGGGCAGCTCAGACCAATGGGAGACACGGTTTTACCTGAAAAACAAAAAGGGCAGCAAATTCCTCTCTGGAGAGACCATCTCTGTGTGTGTGTGTGTGTGTGTGTGTGTGTGTGCACCTCACTTAGCGTCGCTGTGCTCTTTCTGTTATTAAAGCAAAGACTGCTTTCAATTCTGACAATGACCCTGGCCCTCACTCTGAGCCCGGCCTTGGCCCCGGGTGCAAGCCACAGTCACTACAGCATGACTGTCCTCTCTCTTGCAGACATCCAGGACAAAGAAGACACACCACTTAGGAAGGTGAGATGCCTTTTAAAAATTAGACAAAATCTTAGAGGGTCTATTTCCTTTATCTCTAGACCTACATCCATTAACCCGCACTCGAAGACAATCAGAGGCGCTGTTGAGGGAGGCAGCTCAGATGAGTCAAACCTGCCATCGCATACTGAGGAAAGAGAGAGATGCAGCACAAGTTTCAGGTTTTGGCTTTTTCTTTTTTTATAATGTCTGTTTCTAGGGAACCAGCTTGCGCTGAATGCGGCCTGATAGAAATTCAAGATAAAACTCTCATGGATTCTGCTGAACTGTAGTGTCACTGAGACAATTTGCACAGTCTTTGAACTGCTCCCATTTGCCAAACATCTTTTTCAGCTGTTCTAAACTTCATCTCATCAAGCTCTTATCTTTTAACTATATGGAGCAGCATTTAAAATTATAAACTTCAGGGAGGAAGGAAGAGAGACAGGGTTACCTGAATAACTGGGACCAGACAACAGTCAGGGAGATGTCTGACTTTCTTCTGAAGACTCCAAACCCTGAACCATGACCTATTCTGGGCCTGTCTGATCCTCTTTGCTCATATAGAACTTATCACTGTGACGGTACACTTGCAAATGTACTGGCTTCTTTTCCCACTATCAGTATGAATATCTAGGTTCCTTCCGTAGCAGCCATCTCTTTAAACCCTTACAATACATATGGATTTTACTCTCTGGCTCTTCTTGCATATTCCTATCAAACTTTTTTTTTTTTTTTTTTTGCAGAAGTTGTTTTCTGTCTTTTATTGCTTAAATAGTCATCTTCTGTATTGCTGAGAAAAAAACCCAAAGCCCTCAACGTTCCTGGACTCAGGTCTCTAGCAAACTCACCACCCACCCTTCCCTCCTCTCACCCCCATCTGCTTATAATTTAATGTTCTGTATGTTTTAATCATTTCATTAGCCATGTCTTTATTTTGAAATGCAACTAATTCTTCAGTTCAAACAAACAGCCAGTAATTCTAAAAATGAGACCATTCTTTTCTTTGGGGTAGAGGCTGATCTAGAAGAAATATCACACCTATTATGAGAAGGGTGAAAGAATTTGAATGCTCCTTTTATTTTAAATCATTGATTCTTAAAAGTGGAATAGATCTTAGAGATTTGTTGATTAGCTCCACAGGCTTGGAACTAACTTTTGAAGAAGTCGTCTCATGTCCTTCTGAACACAGTGAAAAAGCCATTATTATTATTAAGGCTTATCAGCAAATAGACAAAAAAAATTACGTCATAAAATACTCATTCCTATGAGTAGCTCAGTATCTCAGACCTATACTTAGTAACAAAGGACACAAAAGAGAAAATTGACCCTACTATAGAAGTGGTATATTTTATTAGCTTATTTTCTTTATAGGTGATTACATTTATTAAGGTGGGGAGTTGGGGAATCATATTTTGCTATGAGGGGAAGAGAATTTACCAAGTGTTGTACTTGATTTCTTTTGCCCCTGAGTTTCAGATTTTTCCTACCTCAGATATGAAGTTGCTGAAATTCCAGCACTTACTTCGTTTTAACATTATATTGGTGACTTAACTGTAAAACATGGAATTGATGTCTTTATTTTCAAATATTTGATTAATTTCTCGTAATAAAAATGTTCTTTCAACATTTTAGAAGCACAACTAACATCTACCACACAATTTTCACTTAATAAAAGTTTGTTGAAGCCTGAGTAGATAAATGGGCAGGCCACATTTTGACATTTAATATTTGTGTCTTAATTCAGCTTTAAGTGCCAGTGTTTATTAATGTTAGTACATAGCAAGTGCACTTTCTGATGTATCTCTTCCAGTGAAGATTTTCTCTACTTCCAAAACATAAATCAGAAACATTTAAATTTCCATATAAAGATTGAAATGATGATCATCTATTAGCGAAGTTGTCTTGCAGGAGTTGTTTTAGAACATATTTGGTTATTGACAGATGGGAAGCCTGTGTGTGGCTGACACAAATGGTTGTCACACGCCATCTAGTGGCTCTATGAGAAAGTGTGCTCATTTCCAGGGAAAGATTTTTGGAGCCAGCTTGTCTGCTTCGGAATTTTGGCTCCTGCCAGGAAACCAAAGTACGTTTGTCCATCTTTAAGGCTTTAAACTGAGAGGGACCACTGAGGACAGCATGCCAAATTATCTTCCCAAATCTCTGTCCTAAGGAACACCTAGGAAGTATCTATTTGGGGGAACTGTTTCTTTCTGGATCCGGAGCAAAACTGGGAAGTCATCGGAGAAAGCTTTGCCTGCAACAGTTGTGGTATAAAACAAGGTAAGTAATGTGACATTCCCTGCTATATTCTTCCCACAGAAAACATCACTATGTGCAGAAATCAATAATCTGGCCATGACTTCTACAACCCGGAGGACCTGCGTAGCACTGTTGAATTTGCTCAGGGGAAGATTCTGTGGCAGGTGGTTCATTTCAGCCATTGTCTAGTGCTAATTCATAAGACATCTTAATTCTTATACATATGTGCAATCGTGACTTTTTTGTAATTGATCAAAATATCCATTTTACAATTATCAAGAGCCTGATTTTTAACTTTCTAGTGGAAGGCTATTGTAGTACAAAGAATTAATAGATCCAAAATTAATAGTAGAAAGTATCTCCATGTTTCTTCTGGCTATGGCAAGCAATGCAAAATAGAGTGAACACTCTGAGTTCTTCTTGTATTGTTTCAGCTTTAAATAACTTAAAGACAATTTGAAATGGGATAATAAGTCAGTTAGGTGTAAATTTCACAAAAATCACTAAATAAGCACTGTGTGGGTATAGTGGCATGGTGGGAAGAGCACTCAGTATTTGAGAGTAAATAACCAAAATGAAGACAAGTTGTTTAGGAATCTCACACATCAGACAGTTTTGCTTCTCTCTAGTTTTCTACACTAGCGTGTTTACAGTGCTTGAAAAATGCTGCTTTCAAAGTCATATTAACAACTTTTTAAGACCATCAAATGAGAAACAATTTTCCAAATAGAAAAGCCGGCAAGACCATTTTCTGTTAAGGTCAATTTGTTGTAAATGTATGCTGTAAATAAAGAATGCTCAACCTAAAACATACTTGCTTTTGCCTTTTGAGCTATAATCCTGATCCCTGAGTTGTGATAGAGCTCAACTAGATCTCAAACATCTATTTTTCACTTTCTATATCAAAGGGGAACCATGGGTCCATTTAAGGTATCTGTATCATTCATTTATAGAGAAGCCTATAAATAAGTAGCAACATGAGGAACCTGATTACTATCCAGGTTAAGTCACCTATCAAAAAATCCTGAAATTTCTTTGATCACTTTAGTACAGCATTCTTCCATATCTATTGTCCTGAAAACTAAAAGTATTTTTTTTAATATTGGTATATGGAAAAGCAATTTAGATTTGTGGGCTGAGAACTCTGTCGTTGCCTACATATTTAGATGTCCACAAATCTTTTTAACTTTCCTTAATTTTATATGTTCAAAGTGATTGCATTTTCCAGAATATTTACCTATTAATTGACATTATCATTGGGAAAAAAAGCAGGCTCATTTTTGGCCATGCCACGACCCCCCTACAAATCCCAACTATGATGTCCTATGCTTGTACTAGAGAAGAGAAAAATAGACTTTGCAAAATTTCAGTCCCTGGTCCTTGTCCTTTCAATGGATTTTCTGTTTTCTTTCAGGTCCTCTGCATATGTGCCATAGCTCAGCTAAGGGCCAGTACAAATAATTTCCCTCACCTCCCAGCGTCACAGCTTTTGAGTATACCTGAAAATGCAAATCAATAATAATTTTAAAATTCTCTGTTCTTAGCAAAGTAGGAGCATGAGATTTAAGCCATCTATTGTAGCCGTGATATTCCAGGCAGTTCTTTAAAATCTCTGACTCTCTCCCCTGTCCACTTTATAGAGATGTTGCTGGGATAAGTGGAGACAATTTCAGGAAGGTTTGGGGCTCAGGAGGACATCAATGAGATGCATTGTTTTGCACGGTCTGGTTGGAGGTTGCAGCACAGAGTAAAATTAAGAGCTCCTCTTTTATCGTGGAGCACAGTTGGGCCGTTTGATCTCTTCGTCCTCGGGTAATTGGAGTCTACACAGCATGTGGAATCGGGGCCTGAGCAGCTCGCCCATGTGCCCATAGCCCGCCGCAGACCCGCCTGCAGCACCGTCCCCACCCCACCCCTCCACCAGCCAGATCCAGCTTGGATTACGCCTGGACACGGGCGTAGTTTCTGAGCTGAGAAAACGATGACGTGCAGATTCTCAGTGGAAGCCATGCTGTTTGTTATCATGTAGCAAAAAGTAAACAGAAACTCTCCTGGATCCAGGCAGCCTACCTGTGTGTGGGCGGTTGCCCTCATCATATTCCACGTTCCTCCCTCCCAATAATGATCCAGCTTCTCTGATCCAACTTCTGATCTAAGCTCTCTGATCCAACTTCACCCCCGAAGGCTTGATTTGCACCCTGGATTTCCAGCCAATCTACCTGCTCCCCCCTCACCCCCCCCCACCCCCCCACCCCCCCGCCCATGCAGCTACCTTCTCCATCCAGCTCACAGGGCACCACGGTTGGTTTACACACCACTCACTCAATGGAGTGTTACCAGACCCCTACCTGACAACAAGCACTCAGCTACTTGGGATCTCCATGGTGACCAACAGTGATATGCGTCTGGCCTCAACAAGGAGGGTGACCCATCCTCCCGGTTTGCCCAGAACCGAGTGGGTTTCTGAGACCTAATGCTTTAGATTTTAAAACTGGTGCCATCCCAGGGAAACTGGGACGAGTTGGTCCCTCTCTCATGAGCCTCACATATGCTATCTTCTACAGCTCTTCGTCTGCTTAGAAAGACACTTGTGTCCCTCTCCACAAAGGAGGGTCCTTGACGTGTGTGTTGATGTCTTAGACCTGGAAGCTTGCATTTTTGCATTAGGTGAGACTACAGCCATTTTCCAAATTCACTGCTTCCTTTTCCAGATTAATCCAGGGGTGGATCTAGGTTTTGAAGGGCTTGAAGCTGAGTCCTTCTTTAAGAAAAACAAGTGAATTCCCTAGTGGTCCAGTGGTTAAGACTCCATACTTCCACTGTAGGGGACTTGGGTTCAATCCCTGGTTGTGGAACTAAGACCCTGCAAGCCAGCTGGCACCACCACACACAAAAAAATATCAAAATGATAAATATGAAATATAGTGCTTTAGGGGAGGTGACATGCAAGAATGAAACCCTAGGACCTAAAGTTTGAATTTCATTGGCTTCATGGACAACCCACCTTTATACATAGAAATAGTAATTAGTGATTAACATTTATTAACTCATAGAAACATCACAGTCAACCTATGAGGCAGGTGGGTTATTATTCCCATTTTACAGATAAGAAAGTTGAGGTCCAAAGAGGTTGGCTAATTTGGGTAACTGTGGTCATCCAGCAAGATCCACTGCTCAGCCTCCTTCTGCCAGAAATGGCAAATGACTCTTGTCTCCCATTGAACTGAAACTTGCAAAGCAGAATCACTTGGCCAGCAATTCAACAAACTCAATTGGTTTAAAAATAAAATCCTTAGGGTAAGTAGCCAGTCAAATTCTGTGGACTCCTAGAGGTTCTGGGTGACAGGAAATCCAAGATGAGCCTAAGCACAGCTGTGGCTCTTAGTGAAAGGATGTCCTGTGTCAACATGGCATGTTTCTCTAGATGAGGATTAGAATTCTGGCTTGTGCTTTAGTACGTGTGATGGTTGTACCTGGAGGTCTACTTTCACCAGCCAAGGAAAGGCGCTGTATTCTCTGTTGGCAAGTCTGAGGAACTATTGTCTTGCCTTGGTCCTTAATGTGACTCTTTTCACACTCTTTATCTCCCTTCCTGCCCAACCTCTACCAGATACACTGGGGGTATCCCTTGGTCCACAGTCCTATTCGGAAACCACCAAAGAGGGAAGGGGACAGTGGGTTAAGAGTGTGTACTTTGCCACCAAACTCCCTGGCTTGGAATCCTGGCTCTGTAACCTTGGGTGAGTCACTTTACTTCTCTGTGCCTTGGTTTCTCCATCTGTAAAATGGAAATGATAACAGTATATATCTCCCTGGGTCACTCTGAAGAGTAAATGAGTAAACAAATATATACATACAATGCTTAAAATAGGGCCAGGTGCATGGTAATACTCTAAGTGTTAACTTTTATTATCATCATCAAGTAATTACTATTACTGGCAACTGGGCACTTCTGTGCAGAAATTCCAACACAGAGGAAGGGCAGTATGCCAGGTACAAGATTGCAGGCTGAGCATTCACATGGTCATTTCCACTTAGAACCAGCTGTGAGTAGCTCTGAGCTACTCCCTTCCCTTGATGGTTTCTTGGTTTGGGTCTGTCTGTGGGACACACGTTTAGCCTAGATGTGGCGGATGAAATAGCACCTCTTAGGTGGCCCATCAGTTGCTAATTAAAGTGGCATTAACCCTAATGGGTTGGGAAGCAGGACTCGCGTTTACCTGCTGTGGATTTCCACCAGCTGAGCAGACAGATCCCCTCCACCCTCTAGACCATGCACCTTGGGGTGATGGGGGCCCCAGGAGAGGGAAGTTGGGGGCAGGGGCTAACGTTTTGCAACTTCTGAATCTGCTTATTGTTCCCGACAAAAAATAATATAATAAAGCTAGAGACGTGCTTGTACCGATCAGTCACAGGTGCCAATAATAGTTCACCTAATTACTTCATTATTTTTTGCCACTCCACAGAGCAGTTTGTATTTACGGTCCTGTATATGGTTCTATTACTACCACTTATTGTGACGACTCCAGCAATTCCGGGGAGCCTCTGAGGGGCTGGACAAGTAGAATCTTGTTTTTCTTGATTTCCCCGGGGGTGGGGCAGGGAGGGGGGGCATAGGAGGTGGGGGCTGGTTGTGGGGGGCGGGGAGAGAGGAGGAGCCTGGAGGAAAACGCATCCTGCCGCCATGGACCCACAATTGCTCATCTGAGATGAGTGATAAATGATGGGTGATTTTTAAAACGCTAGAATTTTAAAACAAAGCAAACACATCCTATCCTATGAGGTCCAAGGCCAGCTGTCTTGAAAAAGAGAAGACAAGATTGAACTGCCCGGGCCTGCACCCCTGATGGAAAAGGGCTCAGACCCAGCCCTGCATCATTAGGTTGGAAGCAGAGTTGGAGGCGGTCCCTAATGAATACCAGGCCACAAATTAACGGAGTTGGTTTGGAAAAACATTGTGAATTTTAGTCACTCAAGCATCAGTAAATCTGCTAGAAGTCAGGACTGGTTGTTTATAGCTTGTTAAGATGTTGATTGTTTACAAATTACATTTCCCTTTGAAAAAGTGGGCACCTCGCAGAGGCTTCTTGTCACTCATCTCGTGCTGGGGTGCTTCCTGCCAGGGAGAAAGGCTGCCTGCTGTTCGCCGATCTAATTGGGGCAGCTCTCCACTTTGGGGCCCCTTCCTCTCCCTGGCCCCTTCTCTCCCTTCCTCCTGCATTTCAAAATCACTCTTAAACCCAGTTGCCCTGGAAGCAGCATTTCAGACAAGCCCTGGGCTCTGCACAGCATTTTCTGTGCTCCTTATTTGCAGACACCCAGAAGGATGGATGCTGAGGCTGCCTGGTCTCCCCCCTCGGGCCGTCCTGCCTTTCAAAGAGGCTTCAAGGGCCTGATTTACACACTAGGGCTCATTTGTAAGGTTGGGAGCCAAAAGCAAGCAAATAAGCAAACAAACAAAATAAATCGTGCCTGCTCCTGCTTTTTTCACCGATTGCAAAGAGAGGGGGCCAAGTCAGGGCAGGTTGGAGACCATGCCTCCTGAGCCCCTCCTGTGACTGAGACCCAGAGGGGAGGTGGCAGCTCCGAAGCCGGACTGTGCCCAGATCCAGCCGGAGCAGAACCCAGGGCCATGGACTTCCTGTGGGCAAAACATCTCACGGGAGTGGCTTTCCTGCATCTTTGCTTCCCTGTTGAAACCTATCCATCATGAAGTCAGCAGGTTTCTGCCATGGCGAGCACAGTCTCGGCCTCCTCAATGGCCCCCAAGGGAGCTCCTCTAATCCAGGGGTTCGGGGGTTCCTGTCATGCCCTGTCCTTTGCAGCCGGAGATTCTTCCCATGTATTTTCCCTGTGTGGTTTTTGTGGCCTGTTCCCCTTTTCTGGGTCTTCCAGGATCAGAACCCCATCCATGTGGTCCCAAAGCCAGCCAGCTAGACCCTACGAAGGAGGTGGCGGGCAGGGGTGGGGGTGTTGTTGTTCAGTTGCTTAGTTGTGTCTGACTCTGCGACCCCATGGACTGCAGCATGCCAGGCTTCCCTGTCCTTCATTATCTCCCAGAGTTTGCTCAAACTCATGTCCATTGAGTCGATGATGCCATCCAAACATCTCTTCCTCTGTTGCCCTCTTCTCCTGCCCTCAATTTTTCCCAGTATCAGGATCTTTCCAACAAGTCAACTCTGCATCAGGTGGCCAAAGTATTGGAGCATCAGCATTTGTGAGCACAGCAATCTCCTTTTGTAAATGAACTTGCTGAACCACGCAGGTCCACACTGACCCGTCACCTCACAAGGACACCAGTGGTGTGGGCCCATTGCCTCCGGGCCTGAGCGCTCTGTCCACACAAGGGCCTGGGTCACAGTCATCGCCGCTCACAAAGGAGCTTAGGTTGGGCGGGATGCTGAAGGTAATACACGGGCAACAGACCCCTGTTAAAATCACCCTCAGTCCCAAGACGAGGGCTCACCCTGCGCCGAACTTCTGATGGATGATCTGCAACCAGTACTCACTCAGAGGGCTTCCCTGGCGGCTCAGTGGTTAAAGAATCTGCTAACAGTGCAGGAGATGTGGGTTTAATCCCTGGGTTGGGAAGACCCCCTGGAGAAGGAAAAGGCAACCCACTCCAGTATTCTTGCTTGGAGAATTCCATGGACAGAGGACCCCGGCAGGCCACAGTCCATGGGGTCGCAAAAGAGTCAAACATGGCTGAGTGGCTAAACGACAACTCCTCTGAAGATCACTCCCGGGAAAAAGTGAGCTGTGGCAGGAGGCGTCCCTCCTCACCATAACCCCTGCTAGCCCTGCTCCTCCCAGCCTGGCCTGGCCTTCCCCAGGGTCCCCTGTGGAAAGGTGTGTAGAGACGGGCAGTGACGACTGCCGTAAAAACAGGTGAGAAATCCACTCCTGAGGCTCTCTTGCTGCCCGAAGGGGACAACACAAGCTTGGTTGGAAAATCAACACAACCTTTAAGTCGCATCATAGATGCTCAGGGGAAAAAACAGAAGGCAAGCAGTATTAGTTTCCTGGGGGTGTTGTAACAAATTACCAGAAACCAGTGGGCTTTAAACAACAGAAACTTCTCTCGTAGATCTGGAAGCTCGAAGTCTGAAATCAAGGTGTCGGCAGAGACTCTTAAGGCTCCAGGGAGGATGCTCTGTGCCTCTTCTAGCAATTCTTAGACTTTCTTGTCTTGTAGACATATGGTTCCAGTCTTGGCCTCCCTCTTCCCTTGGTGTAATGGGCAGAATTGTGTTCCCCTTGCCCCAATTCATGCATTGAAACCCTAACCTCAGTAGCTCAGAATGAGACTGTATTTAGAGTTATAGCCTGCAAGAAGTAACTGGGTTAAAATGGGATCATTAGGCTGAACCCTAATCCAATAAGACTGGTGTCCCTGTATGAAGAAGAGATTACGACACAGGTAACAGATCAGTGGGGACTTTCCAGATGGTTCAGTGGTAAAGAATCTGCCTGCCAATGCAGGAGACTTGGGTTTGATCCCTGGGTCAGAAAGATCCCCTGGAGAAAGAAATGGCAACTTTCACCAGTATTCTTGCCTGGGAAACCCCATGGACAGGGGGGCCTGGCAGGCTACAGTCCATGGGCTCGCAAGAGCTGGACATGACTGAGCAACTGAACAACAACAGGTCAATGGATGACCATGTGAGGACACAGCAAGAAGCAGCCATCGCAAGCCCAGGAGAAAGGCCTCGGGAGAAACCAGATCTGCAGACCCCTTCGTCCTGGGCATCCAGCTTCCAGGATGGTGAGAAACCCCATTTCTGTTATGAGATTTGGTATGGCAGCCCAAGCAAGCTAACACATGACGTAGACACACATAGACCCATGCGTGTCTCCCTGCTTTCTGTCTTCTCAGAAGGACGTGGGTCGCAGGGAATTAAGGGCCACCCTACTCCAGTGTGACCTTCTTACCCACCTCTGCAATGACTCTGTTCTGAATAAGGTCACACTCTGAGGTTCTGGGGAGGACATGAGTTTGGGGGAGGACAGTGGTCCACACCGTGCAGTGAAGTTTACCTAAAAGAGTGATTAATCGGTTTTCATACTGACTTTTTCATGGGTCTCAGTTTTCTTTCCCCACTGGAGGGCTGTCAAGGGACCGTGGTAAGAAATGCCTGTGCTTCGCTAGAGGCTGGGAGCTCCAGAATATGAAGCAAAGATGGGCTCCAAGTCTTCCAAGCAGCCCATACCTTCCACACTGGCATGGGATAGCCCCTTTGGGCTTCTCCAGCTCCATCCATCAGCAAGCTGACCGGCCGTTTGCTGTTATCTACACTGGTGATTTGTCACTGATTCAAACTTTCCCTGAGCTATTTGCCCAGAAAAAGGGTTCAAGCTGGAGCAAGTTGTTTGATCTCCTCCCATCAAGAAAATGCCAGCTCTTCTCAAGGATGTGAGATGGGGTGGCAGGGGAGGGGTATTTGAGTGTCTCTCATTCCTATTTACTAGAAAGAATGAGAGTTTGGTGATCTTCAGTCTTGACCACATAATCACCTATAGAGCTTTAAAAAAATACTGATTCCTGAGTCCCCCTAGTGGAATAGGTCTGGGATGGGTCTAGGCACTGGAATACTTAAAAGGTCCCTGGTAATTCTAACGTGCCACTTTGGCTTAGAAGCACTTGCTTATAGTGTCTGGAGTCCCAAGTTGTCAACTAAATGGAAAGAGGGTGAAGTGTAGGTGATATACACCAAGTCCCTCACAAAATAGACAAGGTAACTGGCAGCCTGAGCACCCGGAGTTGCCCAAGTTCACTCAAGGAGAAAACCCAGAGAGCCAAGATGAAAACCCAAGGCTGCGGCACCTGTCAACCACTGGCTTCTCCCCAGGTTTTCATTTCCTGGCTACAAATTAACATATTTAATGATTTTAGTCCATCCCGCTGATCTGCCTTTTAATGAGGTCTGCAGGCTTTGATGGACCTGGTCTCTCCTCACCCAGGTACCTGATTTCATCTACACGTGGAAATGTGCTGCAACCTCCTTATTGTTCTGATGCCTAATCTAATTGGCTTCACGTAGAGAAAAGCCACGTCCCAGAGGCACTCACACCGAGCCCAGCCGCGACTGGCTCTTGTCACCAGGAGACCCAGGTGGGAACATGGACCTGGCTCTCAGCAAACTCTCCCACTCCACAGACACAGGTGAAAAGCCCACATTCTCCCATGACCTCCCGTGATGAGCTACTAGCAAAGGAAGGGCTCGGCTTGCTAACATTCACAGCCATGATAAGCTGCCTCATTTTTCTCACCCGCCTTTCCAACTGTCTGCTTCATCTTTACAGACTGAAGAGTTGTAATGTTCACTCATAAACCTCCTAACCTGTTGCTTTATGTCCTTTGTGTTGGTTTAATATTGGAGAGCGGGAAAGTGGGAGGAATAATTAGATGTTCACTTCCCTGGGGATGAGTCAAGGGTCAGCTTTGTTGCTGTTTTGTCGCTAAGTCGTGTCTGATTCTGTGACTCTGTTGACTGTAGCCCGCCAGGCTCCTCTATCCATAAGATTTCCCAGGCAAGAATACTGGAGTGGGTTGCCATTTCCTTCTCCAGGGGATCTTCCCGACCCAGGCATGGAGCTTGTGTCTCCTGCACTGATAGGTGGATTCCTTACCACTGAGTCACAAAGCTTACCCCAACTTTGCTGAAATTTGGAAATAAAAGGGACTTTATGGCCCTTAAAAATATCAGCTCACAGAAGGTCTTCATAATAAAACAATTTCACAAAGTGTGTTTTTTCTTGTGTTTATTATAGCTTCTTTGTTTTTTTAACCCTTGCAGACTGTCTTATTATTGTTGTTCTTTTTAAACCAGGGTCTATTGTGCCCTCTCTATCGCTCCTTCTCACTCTCCTCTCTCCCCTCTCCTCTCCAGGAAGCACACATCTATTCCTTGAAGAATCCTGACTCTGAAGGTATGTTTTCCTATGAATGATTTGCATACAATTTATTACCTTTTCTTGAAGAATAAGAAAAAACTGAACTTTTGCCTTCATGCTCAACGGAGTTTGATAGAAATCCTTGGTTGCAAATCACCCACTTAAAATAATAAATGCACAACCCAGTTGTTTACTCTGGGGGTGCAACACTCCTCTGCTCCCTAGAAGGCCTGGGGCGCCTCGGGTGCTGGGACCTGCCTGCTGGGATGGGAGGAATTAATTAAATTACCTTATATTTAGTGTTAATTTTGTCCTGGGCTTGTCAGATAATAGACAACAAGCCTGAACTTGGCTGGGAGCACCAGCCCGGGCAGGAGTGGAGTCTCCTGGGTTGTCCTATTGTTGGAATAATTGAGTTGACATCTTGGTGGTGATTAGTTATAAATGTGGTTCCAATATTATTTCAACAGGTGTCAAGTTGGGGGCAGTGGGCAGAAGCACATGAGAATGGCCGTGCTCAGTTCAGCCACTCTGGCACTGATGTGATGGAGTCTGTCCAGCTGGAGGAGGGAAGGAGGCTGTGCGATGTTGCTAAAGAACCATCACTTTTGCAAGAGAATTTGAGAGTGAAACAAGCGAAGATGTCAGTTTGGCACTCACTCTCACTGGGCCCAGCTTGGAACAAGGACATCTTTAGGTGACATAACAAAGTCCTAAGGGTTTTTTGTACGTTAGGAGTGAATGCTTTTGATTACTGATTAAAATTTGCCTCACTAGCACCAACCTGAACCTTTCGGGAAGTGGGTTGTGACAAGTCCTAATTAACATGAAATTATAGTTCTGAGTAATGTTACAGCCCTGATCCACATGGACCTATAATACTGTGAATCCCAAGGAAAGGAAATTTGCCCAGGCTCCTGGGATTGTGTGGACTTGCACTCAAATATCGTTTCCCCGTCTCACTCCCAAACCCTGAAAAGCACTTTCCACTCCAATGAAAAAGCATCATCAAATGGAAGAGACTTTGCAAGGATTTCCCCTCCTTGTTTCAGAGAAGTCAGCACAGGGCACAATCTAATGAAAGTACTCTTAGATGATCTCCTGGAGGGCTGGTCCTCTATCCACACACCTCTGCCTAGGCGAGGAGATCCCTGATAAGGACACGGTGCCAGGTGGTACCTCTTGGAGGTCCCCACCCCACCCCTGATCTTGGGGAAGTCTACTATTTAAAGCTATTACTGAGCCCAATAACACAGGCTTCTGGCCTCAGGAAAAAGGCAAGAGGTAGGCTTTCACCTTTGGAAATGCAACGTGAGCTCACCACTTTCACATACTGCCTGGGTAGTCTCCACATGTTAATTGACCATAAGTAACTTCCTGAATGGCAGAGGCAGCAGAGATCAAATTGCCAACATCCGCTGGATCATCAAAAATGCAAGAGAGTTCCAGAAAAACATCTATTTCTGCTTTATTGACTATGCCAAAGCCTTTGACCATGTGGATCACAATAAACTGTGGAAAATTCTGAAAGAGATGGGAATACCAGACCACCTGACCCACCTCTTGAGAAACCTGTATGCAGGTCAGGAAGCAACAGTTGGAACTGGACATGGAACAACAGACTGGTTCCAAATAGGAAAAGGAGTACATCAAGGCTGTATACTGTCACCCTGCTTATTTAACTTATATGCAGAGTACATCATGAGAAGTGCTGGGCTGGAGGAAGCACAAGCTGGAGTCATGATTACTGGGAGAAATATCAATAGCCTCAGAAATGCAGATGACACCACCCTTATGGCAGAAAGTGAAGAGGAACTAAAGAGCCTCTTGATGAAAGTGAAAGAGGAGAGTGGAAAAGTTGGCTTGAAGCTCAACATTCGGAAGACTAAAATCATGGCATCTGGTCCCATCACTTCATGGGAAATAGATGGGGAAACAGTGGAAACAGTATCAGACTTTATTTTGGGGGGCTCCAAAATCACTGCAGATGATGATTGCAGCCATGAAATTAAAAGATGCTTACTCCTTGGAAGGAAAGTTATGACCAACCTAGATAGCATATTAAAAAGCAGATACATTACTTTGCCAACAAAGGTCCATCTAGTCAAGGCTATGGTTTTTCCAGTAGTCAGGTATGGATTTGAGAGTTGGACTATTAAGAAAGCTGAGTGCAGAAGAGTTGATGCTGTTAAACTGTGGTGTTGGAGGAGACTCTTGAGAGCCCCTTGGACTGCAAGGAGATCCAACCAGTCCATCCTAAAGGAGATCAGTCCTGGATGTTCATTGTAAGGACTGATGCTGAAGCTGAAACTCCAATACTTTGGCCACCTCATGCGAAGAGTTGACTTGGGAATACATGTAAATCCATGGCTGATTCATGTCAATTTATGACAAAAACAACTACAATATTGTAAATTAATTAGCCTCCAACTAATAAAAATAAATGAAAAAAAAAAAGAGTTGACTTGTTGGAAAAGACCCTGATGCTGGGAAGGACTGGGGGCAGGAGGAGAAGGGGACGACAGAGGATGAGATGGCTGGATGGCATCACCGACTCGATGGACATGAGTTTGAGTAAACTCCGGGAGTTGGTGATGGACAGGGAGGCCCAGCGTGCTGAGATTCATGGGGTCGCAAAGAGTCGGACACGACTGACCGACTGAACTGAACTGAAAACTTCCTGAACAAAAATCCTTTTCCCTCCCAAACATCCAAAACTGGTGTCGGGTCTCTGCATAATCACAACTCAAAGCATGTTGTCCATTTCCTGATAAACCTAGGACAAAATTAAGATAAAAATGGTGCTGTTTAAGTCTCCCTGTCTCACAGATCAAACAATAGGGCCATCACAGAATGCCCCTGAAAGAGAAAAATCTTGAATCATCCACCAGAGATCCACAAGGCAGCTGTACCCCAAAGAGTCTGTGAGTCTCAGAGTCAAGCTGCGTTCTCTGTTCAGCCTCAGAGGAAAAACCTTGAGCACACATCGCTGGTCTGCCAGTCGAAGAGATGTGGAGCTGGTGTTTGGATTGAGTCCCTAGCAAAGTGCTGGAAGCCCAGTTCACCTGACCATCAGCCGCATGGAGCTGCTGCCAGCCCTGGGTGTCTGCAGCAGCCGGATGCAGCCGCCACGGACCCAGAGCAGCAGGTGGTAGTGCGAGACGGCGAGGGGGGTGGGGGTGGGGAGAGTCACCCCCTGCTATGAAAGTCTCAGCAGTCAAGTCTGCTGATGGGCAAGCAATGATGGTGGAACACCTGGCTTTGCCATTGCTTTACCTACCTACCACAGGCACTTAGGACGCACAGCATCACATGTTGGGTGGAGAGTGGATAAGTGGCCGAGAATGTGTCTGTTCATCACAG